AGGGCTCGCGTCATACTGCTGCCTTCACACCGGACAGCTCCGAGATTTTGATTGCTCCAATTGGCCCGGGGCGACTGTCCGTCTGGGACGTCAAGACCGCAGAGCACGTTCGCGACTTCCAGCCATTGGACCCACTATCCGTATCCATCCTCAGTCCCAGCTTCCTTCCGACAGAAGGCGAGTTCGTGTGTGGGTCGCAGAACGCTGTTCTTGTCCTGGACGTTGCTCGTGGCGGTGTTCGACATGCATTTACAGGTCACATCCGGTCTGTCAGTACCGTCGCTCACAATCGAGACGGGACTCGCATCGTGTCTGGCTCGTGGGATGGTACCCTCCGACTTTGGGATGTGGCGAAGCGTAGAGTGGACATGCCACAATCCGGAAACACCGACAAGGCACTCGGTTTGCTCGGCGAGGAACCGGTGAGCTACATTTGTGCCGTCTTCTCCCACGATGGGAGCCGTGCCCTATTGGAGCGCAATGACTCAGATCAATCTATCGAGGTGGTCAAGACCGATACGTGGGACTTGACGTACAAGAGTCTACCCGCATCCTTGGGGATCCTTTACATGGCCTTTTCACCAGACTGTGTGACAATCCTCATGGCGACAGAGGAAGATCTGGTGCTCTGGGATGCCGCCGCAGGACACCTACGTACTCGATTAGAAGGTAAGTTGTACCTTACCGACTGGGGCTCTTATTCCCCGAGCGGTTTCATGTACAGGGGTGTCGTGGGCTACATGCCGCACTGCTTCAGTAGCCAGTCCTCGTCAATCATGTTCTCGTTGGACGGCCAATACCTGCTCACGGGGAACATCTCTCAAGCCGGAAATTCTCAAGAGTATCCCACTTGTCTCTGGGACATCGCGACGGGCGAACCAATTCGCGAGTTTTGGGGACACAGTGGCTACATTCGCTGCATCGCTTTTTCCCTCAATGGAAGACGCATCTCGACAGGCTCCGATGATATGACTGTCATTGTGTGGGACGTCGCCACTGGAACATCCCTAGCGACATTCAAGGAACACAACGCACCCGTTTGGTCAGTCACTTTCTCTCCGAGTGGGGACCACCTCGTGTCAGGAGGGGTTGATTGTCGTGTTCTAGTGAGGAATTCGGAGGGAGGAGAACTACTCCAGTTCGAGGGACATGCAGACACAGTAGGGTTGGTCGCCTTCACCCCTGATGGAGAAGTCATAATTTCCTCATCAGACGATACGACCATGTGACTCTGGGACACCAAAACGGAGGCTTGCCTCCTAGTCCTAGACCCAATGATGTGGCACCACACCATACAACTGTCTCCCGATGGTTCAGGCATCATTATGAGCGGCGGAAAGCGAGCTGTTCAGCTCTGGGCTCTCCTCGACGCAGACGCGCAGGCAAAGACGCTACTTTCTTGGCTCCCGCGGCACACTTGGCCTGTGTACTACGTGAAGGACGGCTGGCTTTTCTCTCTGACCCCAGCCCGGCGGACGCACTTATATTGGGTGCCGGCAGACTGGCGGGGTTTAGTGGGATACTTCGGGCATAATCTGGCGTTTGAGAATGCACGTAAGCTGAACGTCTCTGGTTTGAGCTGATACTTGGAAATTTTACACAGTGGTCGCATGCAATGGTGTATCTGAATATTAACTGTATTGTTTTGTCTGTACTTGAGATATGCTACAAGATTGTAGGCCATATCCAAGAGTAAGTGAATAGAATGCGTAGATAAGCTTCATGTAAAAAGGTCGTGGAAGTCGTGATGTAGCAGTCTTGAAGGTTGATAAACGCTTCTATCAAAGCCAGAAGTAGCTTGGCTGGTGGATGACCACAACCGAAGTCGGGGTAGACTTACGCAGCTGGCTGGGCTTCACCTACCTTCCAAGCGACCCACTCAACTTACCCGCGGCGACACTTTGGGCAATCTCGCTGTCGTTCGTATTCGGGTTTCCAGGCAGGAGCAACTAACACTTGCCCTTTCCCTTGCCGGAGGCATTTGACCTCGCCCCCACCAAGGTCTAATCGCGACTGCAAAGAGCAGAAGCGGTTTTCCACATCTGGGCAGTATCCTGTCCTCCCTGCGCACGGCTACAATCGCAGCGATGAGGCTTACCTCTACGGAACAGGCATCAACTGCACAGTGTGTAATGATACCACTGCCAAGTATCCGACCGAGCTGCATGTAACTTGATCTAGCTATCCCGGATCCTCGCAGCCAACGCGAGATAGTCCATCTTGCCTTGCTTCGAGTCTTCGGACTTCTTGTCTAGCGAGTACGGCAGAGCTTGTAGTACATTTCGAAGGTGGCTCGTAGAAACAGCTTGGGTCAGCATGGTCAGTACATACAGTGTTGAGTGAAAGCAAGAGCGAGTATAACATCAGAACGCAGGCGCACGCTCGGCTCTCAGGGTAGACCGAGCATGACCTCAAGGTTAACCGGCTTGATAGCCCATGGTACACTCAAAAGCTTAAGTTTACGTGTTTTGGAAATGCAGTTCCAGCACAATTTGCACCACCCTTGCTTCACACGCGCACTGCTGTCAGCTGCCTGTCTGAGCTGAGGGATAGTTTGTCGACAAGCTGCTCTCCGGATCTCTGTGCCAGAGGATTGGAGGATGCACCCCAGAAGCAATTTGTGGGTAGAATCTGACCTAAAGAGGGCTGCGCCTGAGGGATGTGCGGCCCGGCGTGATAAGCTGGAAAGGAAGGCCAAGGTTTGAGCAAGCGTGCGACGATGCATTGAGCTAAACTCCAGCCACAGCAATTGGCGAAGGTGAGGCAAGTCAAATGATGGCTAAACTCACTTTGTATATACAAGCATATGTGCAGCGACCAAATTGGCCTGGTCTGGGTCCTTCTAGCCAATGCAGTCAGCTTGAATGGTGAAGCTAATCTCAAAATATGACATGCACACAACAAGAGCTGGCTTTCTAGGCCACTACAAATGATGAAAAGCATGCTTTGAGAATATTGTATCGTAGTACATGAGAGCGTTGGCGCAGGGGGAAGATGGAAGAGAGCTATGCAGATAATAAATGCGAAAGCAGGATCAGAGACACGGATGAAGGCTGAGCTCAGCCTTGAAGCTTGAAGCCTAGAGTGCCAAGTGAGTTCGGCGCGAGAAAAGTTTATTAGGAGTGTCCAATGAAGCAACAATAAGTGCCAAGAAGTACTGTCGGAAGATTAGCTGCTTCGCCACAGACATAAGAATAAGGGCTCACCATATAGATGAGTTCTGAGCTGTCTACATATGTCTGTTCAGTTCCATATTATAACTTGTTAATGACCTTGCACCTGTATCACTCCTCTCTATTGATCCATCATTGCAGATTGGCTTTTAGAAGGATTAACGGACAGCCTTTGATATTTTGGCCCCTAGCAAAGGTGGCACATCACCTTGCAACTTGACTGCGCATGCGCATGCTACGCCCGGGCCCTCAGGTTTGGGTTCCTAGCCTTCCATAGGTATCAGTTGACAGGCAAATAAAGGGAGAGGAGCAGAGAGTGGCATTGAACAGTCTAGTGTTTACCGAGTTCATGGGTCAGAGGCAGTGCTAGTGGAGACAGGACTTCCTGTCAAGCCGTAGTCCTGTTCGGAAGGGCCACCAGAGTGGCCTAGTTAAGTCTGAATCTCTTTTTTTTTTGGGAGGGGGAGGGGAGGGGGCTATATGACGGTTGGCAGCTGAGTTGACTCATGCCCCGCACCATCAGCATGATAAGGGGGTGTGAACACCCAGCTTCCACCGTGAGGAAATTCATTTACGCACGCAGTGTGGGACTCGGGACCTAACAGCCATATACATACCTAAGAGTCTTCGACCGGGCTGCCAATCCCCAAATGAGAGGGAGGACAATCCAGTGGCCCTCTACCCACTAGAACCCTGCTACCTGAGAGCCACTTATTGGCTCGGTGCGATCATCCATGGACAATGGGAGTACGATGGAATTCCATGTTTGGGCGGCAATCTTTCCGTCCAGGGCTTTCTTGCCAAAGCAATCATTGGTCATGGCCCAGTCGAGGTCATAACGGCATTGTATTGTAGAGCTCCAGCGGTTGCAAAGTTTGGTTTCGGGGGATACTTTGAGGTTGGCGTGTTCGATGTGTCTCTCGCAGCATAGCTTCCAGATGAGGTATGCAAATTTGGATAAGAGTATGCGGTACAGTCAGGATGCTGCCGTGTCAGTCGCACCAGTCGTCGAGCGAAGAGAGATGGCTCCGCATTCTAGTATTGAGGATGCCGTGGGTTTGTACCAGCCGGGGTAGGCAAACAGCCAGAGGTTACGTGCGAGGCCCCAGATGTAGGCCTGGCCTGGGGCGGTGCAGCAGGTGAGTGTGTGGTCGAGATCTTCGAGCTGTTCGCAGGCCGCGCAAGTGGCTCGGTTGTGATATCAGGAGATTTTTAACCAAAAGCAACCGATACGGAAGGCATTTTTCAGGTCCTTGTAGAGGAAATCGCGCGGTTTGCATGCAATGTCGCGGTGGCATGAGCGTAGGCCTTTCCAGATAGATGCCATGGTAGGTAGACTCCCTGTGCAGTCTTCTATTATGAGTTGCATGTTGGCAAGTCATGTTAGGGTTGAGAGTTGTAAAGTGTGGCCACGCTAATCGCAGAGTCCTTGGTAGGCTAGGAGTTGGGTGAGAGAGCAGAGTTTGGCTCCTGGTATGTCAAATGCGGGGTCTATAGTGAGTAGGATGTCATCTGCGTTGTCGCGTAGAGCACCACGTGCAGCTTCAGCATCAGCACCTTCATTTCTTGCATTCCCAGTGTGGCCTTTGACCCAAGCAAAGATAGCAGGTGCAGCGCGGGTCCGGAGACGGTACAGGGTTGGGCGGAGGAGATGTGTGTTTGCTACGCCGATCCAGAATCCAGAATTCCAAGAATCCTTCCTGTGGACCTCGCAGCCACCTAGCCTAGTGTACTATTGCATGAGAAACCGATCTCTGAAGTGACGTGACAAGTGAGCCTTAGCGGTTGGCAGGTTGGCCTCGGGCACTTGCCATCAAGTGCGGTAAGTGGTTCTCCAAGTCCTGGCAGTACGGCGCTTGGCACCAGTGGATTTGTACATGTCCCCTTACTGACAGGGGTCAGTACAACTTTGAGCTACTGCACCAGCAGCTACTAGTATGCGCCATCTAAAACAGAAGATACAGCAGGCTGGGGCCAAAAACACCGCCAATGCCATGATAAGAGACTTGGAGCAGGCTCTTGACATGCTCAGCAGTGTCGTCGGCAATCTTAGTATGCCGGGTTTGCAGATGGGTATTGGGGTTTTTGAAAGGGTGCTGGAATCGACTCAGGTGTGTACTGCAGGCCGTCTCCCTAGTGCTGATTTTCATAGCAGGTGCTAGAAATCGCGAGCGAACACAGGAAGCATTAACAAATTGGCCTCGATGACCAGGAATTTGGCGAGAATGCTAAATGAGAGCACAGAACTCCACAGCCAGAACATATTGCCCCTAATGCAGGCCAGACTTGACAGACTGCTATCGTAAGTTTGCTGTGATGATATGGATAATAGGTTACTCATGTCACGTAGCTCTTGGGAGACAGTTAATTATGAGGCGCAGTATCTTGAATACCAGAAACAAAAATCAGAAGTGTTGCAGCACAATGAAGTAGCAGACAGAACCACCACTCTCGTACTAAAACTGTCCTGGTCGATCCATAGTTTCATGGTATATAGTGTCTTATCCCTTTGATGACTCGTTCACTTCGCTGATGTCTCCCCTTGAATTTTAGGTTGGGGGCATGGGTATGCTTGCGATTGAAGTTGCTCTGGATGTACGTAGGAGACATTAATCGCTTGTACCAACGTTAATTTGACACTGGCAGGATCATATTCATATCTCCAAAGAGATATTTCGGTCTGTGGACAAGAAGTTGGATGTCATGCAGAGCAATACTCAAGTGAGTATCTCTTTTTTTTCCGCTTGTTTATAAAGGCCCGTAGAACTACTGCTACATGAGGGCCTGTGCTACAGCCAAAACAGGGTCCATGCCGATTCACCACCTCATAGGCCATGGTTGATGAATTAACCATGGGATAAGTTTACTCTGTGCCATGCAATAACAGTGGGTGTGGAGGCCTGCAATGTTCAATGCATCAACCAAGCAGAGGACATCTAGGACATTGCCTTTAATGCCTTCTCTATATGGGTAGCATTCAAGCTCCACTGTGCCTTGGCATTTCATAATGCTAACAAAGTAACTGGTTGCCTAAAAGCAGTACATTGCAGATCTAT